CACACACAAACTCCCTCTCTCCCTCCCCCTGCACACACACACGTATCCATACATATCCTCTCTCATATACCCACTCTCTCTCTTACTCTCACACACATTCTCTCTCTCTTCCCCCCTCACTCACACACACAGGCACACACGTACGTGAATCTACTGGGTGAATTTGTGTTTTCGATACATTCTATTTTGTTTAAAAAGCTCACAATTTAGAGACAGTCATTCAATGCGGTGTTTTATAAATTCCTACTTTAGAACTAAAACCAGTCTGTCTCCAAACCAAAACACAAACAGAATCTAAAGAAAGCCTCACACCTGATCTTCACTATCTTACCTAAAATGTCACCTCTTTTTTACACTGTCAAAACCTTTAGTTCTCTCAGGACAGTGACTTCAAAGGAATTTTGGGTTTACATATGCATATTAAATCAAGTAAAACCTTTAATTGATTAAAGATTTAACAGCATCTTAGATTTGTTTAGTACATCCTCGTCAGTGGTGTGACCCTTTGATCTTTTATTTATAAATTCTGTGCCTGATTCTGCCTCTCTCGCTAACACCTCAAGGAGGAGTAAAACTCCTAAAGCTTGTGTTTTCAAATATATCTGTTGGACTATAACCTGGTGTCATGTGATTTCTGACCTTGTACACTCCAATCTTACATTAGCACCTCCACATCATGGAAACAAGGTGTAGCTAGTGGAGATCTACAAGGACCAGATATTTACAATGCCTATCAATCAATCAGGTAAGGAATAATACAGTCATAATGACTCAAAGTGAGGCCATTCAGCCCACTGAGTTCATGCTGAGGTACATCTAAATTTACTGACAGTACAAGGAAAGGTTGGAAAGTAAGCTGTGAAAAAGTGACACCAAAGAGGCTACAAAGGAGTACACATTGGTTAACTTATTGGGCAGTAAGATGGCAAATAGAGTGTGGTATGAGGAAATTATTTATATCTATTAATAAAATTATTAGCAGAGGAAAGAAATTATCAATTTTGGTAGGAAGAATAGAAAAGGAAAATGTTTATTAAAAAGCAAGAGACCAGGAAGTTACATGATATTTATATGAAGTTATATGATGTGGGCATTGCTGACAAGATCACCATTATTGCCCATCTCTAATTTCCCTAAATATATGACAAGGACTGGGGCTACATGAGTAAAGTGGTCATGCTGCTGTTATATGGGTACTGGTGCCAGACATTTTGCCTCTCCATCTATTCCACCATTCTGTGATCTAACTCCATGATCCCATCATTGCCTGTATCCCATACTACCTACAAATACAATTACAGATCATCCTTGAAGCTTTGTCCTTTCTGATCGATAATCTGAATACAAAGCTGAAAAAGAAATGTTTCTTTTAAGAGCTCCCATCTCACTAAGGCGGCTTTAGGCCAATCCACATCCAACATTCTGTTCTGAAAATTCTGCTCACATTAGCAGCTGTGACAATTCCACCACAGCAACATTCTCAATAAAACAACACATAAAATTCTAAAATAAAAGTCAATTTACCCTACCTCTCAAGATTAACAGATCTTTTAAAAATTCCAAAATCCAGATGTACATCTTCGCCAAATACTAATCAGTTCTCTCTTGGGCCATATGTTACCTGCATACCAGGTGCAGCTGAAATCCATCCATTTGTTTTTGAGATATATTGTTCATAAACAGACTAAAAAGGGGCAAAAACATTACATCCACCCACGTTCAGCGGCAACGGCAATAAACTGAAGTTAGATTAGAACAAAATGTTACTATCTCATAATCACGAGAGGAAAAACAAAGCAGATACATCAGAGCACAGACAGTACACCAACAGGCACTGCCAAACTGCAAAGTAGGTGCAAATAAATGCATATATTTATAGAGCAGTAAGCAGCAGTGAAATAAATTGAGAAATGGGCACCAGTGAACACTGAATCCGCAAGAAGCAGGCATACTCATAAAAGGAATACAGGAAGAAATATGGAGCAAGGATAGGTTTTAATTATTGGCGTGATATTTTTATGCCAAATAAAGCATGTAGTTGCCTCACAAACACCAGAGCTACAAGCGGTAGCAGTATACTTGAAGAGGGCACACACCTCAGCATCAATTACATCTGTAATGTATCTCGGAGTGAGCAATGGCATTCGGACATATTGCAGCAGATCCGGTAGGAATTCCTCTCGTTCTTTCTTGGAATGTTTTACCCAGTTTAATACTGCTTCAAACACTGGTTCTTCTGAATCCACCTAGAACAGCAGCAGTTCATCAGGACCCAGACAGCAATTCATTGTACAATAGCGTCCTAGTGATAAAGCTCCACACATATCATCATCCTACTCAGGTAACAGTCATGAGTCCCACACCAACTAGGTGATAACTGCAGAGCTAGGGAGTGTGTGTGGGGCGGTGTGTGGGGCGGGGGTGGGAACAGGTGTGTGGGGAGGTGGCTGTGTGTGGGGTATATGGTGTAGTGTGTACCTGTGTGTCGGTGTGAAAGTTTGTGCCAGTGTGTGGATCTGTATGTATCTGTGTGCATGTCGAGTGGACTGGGTAGTTAAGCCATATTTCTCCAAATGGTGAAGAACTTAACACAAATTTACTGGCTATGGCTACATTTCCACATTCCATACTTTTTGAAACGATTTCTTTATACCCGTGGGACGGCACGGTGGCTCAATGGTTAGCACTGCTGCCTCACAACACAAGGGACTCCGGTTCGATCCCACCCTCGGGTGACTATCAGTGTGGAGTTTGCACATTCTCCCCTTGTTTGCGTGGGTTTCCTCTGGTTGCTCTGGTTTCTTCCCACAGTCCAAAGACGTGCAGGTTAGGTGGATTGGCCATGCTATAGTGCCCATAGTGTTCAGGGAGGTGTAGATTAGGTGAGTTATAGGGGGATGGGTCTGGGTGAGATGCTCTGAGAGTCAATGTGGACTTGTTTCCACACTGTAGGGGTTCTATGATCTATGATCAAATTGTAGCCTATCGTAATTTTGAGTATTCATCAAACTTTACCAGTGGATCAGCAATACTTTTCCCCACAGAAAGTTGAACCAAGTTAAATGTCTTTCTAACTGCATTAGCAATATTGCAGGTGTAGGTATTGGAAGGAGATGGCAGCGTTTAAAGTGGCATCAAGTGGTAAACGCTAGCAGGTGAAAAAGTGTTGTATAAGGTGATGCCAAACTACAATGCATTTTTAATATGATGTAGGTTTGTATTTAGCACCGTGAATCAACACTCCACGCAATAAAAGACAAAATCTCCAGAAAACACATTGGGTCTTCAATTCTGAACCTTATCTGCCCTTTGTTATCACACACTGTTTGACATAATCAGCCTTTACATCTTCTCCATAAGTGGCTGAGGCCTCACCTGAATTTCATCACACCGAATAAGTTTTTCCACTTCCCCCTTGTTCAGCAGCATGAATTCCTCATGTTGGACAACTTCTGGAAAGTTCTTCTGGCTGAAAACCTCTGCTGCTTGCATCAGATCCACACAGCTGTGTGTCTCTGCAAATTCCTGGATTCCCAGACAGTTGGATGGGTCTAACTGGCTCTCCAAAAATTCACAGCAAGCCTGCTTCACACCTATTGAAAGATATACACACAGCGCTACACAAAAACAGTCACTTGTGTAATCTGCAACTTTATTTCAGCAGCAACAGCAACAGCCACAGCCACAGCCACAGCCACAGCAAGGAAGTGACACCGTCTGGAGCGAAACAGAGACCGAAGTTGGTTCATTACTAGCATTCTTTGCTCAAGGGCAGAATGTTGTGTATACAAGCCCCATTTCTAGACACTTGAGCCCATAACCCAATGTAGTACTGAAGTAGTGTTGCACAGTCAGAGGTGCACTCTATCAGAATAGACATGGAACTGTGGTGCTGTGCGTCATCTCAGATGGATGTACATGAATCCAGACAATGTGGAATTTTCCTGGTGTCGCAGCCAAAATTGGTCCCTCAACCCCCAAAGGGAAAAACCAGTTAAAGTAACAGGAATCCTCAGGGGGAAATGAATTACTGGTCATGCTGGAGCTCTAGTTTGATGTACACGAGTTGGACCAGAGTTTGTATTAGTGTTATTGTTTTTCTTTCCCCTCTGGCATCCCCCCCCCCGCCACCTCATTAAAACTGCTTATTGCTATGTAAAAATTCCTTGCTACATGCAAATTGGCCATTTTTTCCTAACTGCGAAAATAACTATTCTTCAAAAGTATTTCATCAGGTATAAAGTACTTTGGGTGATCCTGCAGTCAGCGGAGGCGCTAGGTAAATACAGGTTATGTCTCTCTTTATGAGTAATACTGGCTTGTTGCTCTCCACAGCAGAGCTGATGGACCAGCAATATATCTAGTTGCTATCTGCAGAGTGCTAACAGGCCTGAGAAGAGCTGATAATTGATGTCACACAGCACAGCAATGCAGTTTTACATGAGGAGCTGTTTGCTAGTCTCAGCCCTGGACTGCCCAACAGCAGTGAAACTGAGAAGAGAACTAACCTTTCAGTTGCAGGAGACAGGCTGCTGGAAGCAATTCCTGAACATTTTCCACTGTGACATGGACCGTTTCAGTATATACAAAATCCAACAGGATCTCCATAGTGGAAGCAGTGAGACCCTGGATATCAATGTCAGATTTACCTTTCTCTGAAAGCTGCAAGGGAAGAAACAATAGCCCAATCACATCACAGGAATAAATTCAAGCGTTTTCTACTTGGATTAGAGGTACAGTTCCCAATCAGGCATCAGAACAGGTTCAAACTTCACAAAGTTCTCATTTCTTTGGACAAGAGTCCTCTCCCCGTCCCAAGACCCCTTTGCCCAACTCTAACACTCTCCCTCCACCTGGACCCCTCCCTCCGACCTTTTACCTGCACTCGATCTTTTCATTGAGAACTGTCGATGTGACATTAGTCGCCTCAATTTCACTGCCCTCTCAACAAATCCAACCTATCTCCCTCTGAACTGACTGCACTCCATACACTCAGATCTAACCCTGACTTTGTCATCAAGCCTGCCGATAAGGGTGGTGCTGTTGTTGTCTGGCGTACTGACCTCTACCTTGCAGAGGCTGAGTGCCAGCTCTAAGATACCTCCTCCTACCTTCCCCTGGACCATGACCCCACCATGGCACATCAGGCCATTGTATCCACTACGGTTATGGATCTCATTTCATCCGGTGATCTCCCCCCATCCGCTTCCAAGCTAATAGTCCCCCAACCCCGCACAGCTCGTTTCTACCTCCTGCCAAAAATCCACAAACAGGACTGTCCAGGCAGACCCATCGTTTCAGCCTGCTCATGCCCCACAGAACTCATCTCTTCCTACCTTGACTCAGTCTTCTCCCCCCGGTCCAATACCTACCCACATACATCCATGATTCATCTGATGCCTTACGCCGGTTTCAAAACTTCCAGTTTACCGGCTCCAGCCACCTCCTCTTTACCATGGATGTGCAATCCCTTTACACATCCATTCCCCACCAGGAGGGTCTTAGGGCTCTCCGCTTCTTCCTGGACAAAGACCTGAACCATCCCCACCTACCACCACCCTCCTCCGCTTGGCCGAGCTTGTCCTCACCTTCAACAACTTCTCTTTCAACTCCTCTCCTTTTCTTCAGGTAAGAGGGGTTGCCATGGGTACCCGCATGGGCCCTAGTTATGCTTGTCTCTTCGTGGGGTACGTGGAACATTCCTTGTTCCAGTCCTATGCCAGCCCCCACCCACAACTCTTTCTCCGATACATCGATGATATCATCGGTGCTGCTTCCCTCTCTCGTCTAGAATCGGAAAACTTCATTAGTTTCACCTCCAATTTCCACCCTGCCCTCACTTTCCCCTGGTCTATCTCTGACTCCTCCCTTCCCTTCCTCGACATTTCTGTTTCGATTTCTGGGGATAGACTGGCCACTAATATCCATTACAAACCCACCGACTCCCACAGCTACCTGGACTATACATTTTCACACGCCACTTCCTGTAAAGACTCCATCCCATTCTCTCAGTTCCTCCGTCTCCGTTGCATATGTTCAGATGAGGCCAACTTCGACAAGGGAGCCTCCGAAATGTCCACATTCTTCCTCAACCGAGGATTCCCCAGCTCTGTTGTCGACAGGGCCCTCAATCAAGTCCAACCCATCTCCCGCACTTCTGCCCTCACCCCTTCTCTTCTCTCCCACAACAGCGAAAGGGTTCCCCTTATCCTCACCTACCATCCCACCAGCATCCACATTCATAAGATCATCTGACGCCATTTCCGACACCTCCAGCAAGATGCCACCACCAGACACATATTCCCCTCCCCTCCCTTGTCTGCCTTCCGCAGGGACCGTTCCCTCCGGGACACCCTGGTCCACACTTCCTTCACCCCCAGCACCACCCCACAGCCGTACGGCACCTTCTCCTGTAACCGGTGAAGGTGCAAAACCTGCCCATTTACCTCCTCCTTCCCCAATATCCAAGGGCCCAAACATACCTTCCAGGTGAAGCAACCCTTCACCTGCACTTCCCAGAATCTACTCTACTGCATTTGCTGCTCACAAGTGGTCTCCTCTACATTGGGGAAACGAAGCGTAGACTTGGCGACCGCTTCGCAGAACATCTACGTTCTGCTGGCAAAAAAAGACCCTGAACTACCTGTTGCCTGCCACTTCAATGCACCACCTTGCTCCCTGGCCAACATCTCTGTCTCTGGCTTGCTACAGTGTTCCAGTGAAACTCAACGCAAGCTGGAGGAACAACACCTCATTTTCCACTTGGGGACCCTACAGCCCTCCGGACTCAATATTGAGTTCAATAATTTTAGGGCCTAAACTCTCCCATGTCCCATCCCACCCCCCCACACACCAGGCCTTGTTACCACACAGCCTGCCATTACACACCCACTGTTGTTAGTCACTAACAGTCCCCATTAACAACTATTCACCCTCCCAGCCTGATCGTTAGCAACTCCTTTGTCTGTCCAACTGTCTTTCTCTCTCTTTGGGCTCTATCCTATCGTTTACTCCCTACCCCACCCACCTCCCTATTTTCTGCATATAAACTGACGTTTTCCCAGCCACCATCAGTTCTGAGGAAGGGTCACCGGACCCGAAACGTTAACTCTGTTTTCTCCTCCACAGATGCTGCCAGACCTGCTGAGCTTTTCCAGCAACTTTGTTTTTGTTCAAACTTCACAAAGCACACCTCATACTGCCGTCTCCACCTCATGGGGCAAGGATTGCCTCACACTGACCCCAACCTTCATGGATGAAATTCATGATCTTCAATGCAGTAAAGCTGGGTTCCGTGTGACCCATACTACTATAGCAATTTTACACATTTATTTCTGGTTACTTGCTACTGTTGTACTCGCAAGAGGGAAACCAGAACACAATGTAGTGGTTTCTGCAACGCTCTCTGCATGTGGAGATGGGTGCTACAATCCACAGAGATGGATTCAGCAAATCACTAGGAGAAAGGGTTAAATACACAGCACTCCCAGCAGCTGGTATTTAAACCATGTAATGACAAGGCAATAATTAGACACTAGAGTTAAACTATAACCATTAATCAAGTCATTGGGCACATCCTCATATTTAGAACTTTTTTTAAAAAGAATCAAGTTTTCTTTCGCCACCAGGTGTGATTTCTCACTGCAAGAGTTGTTGTTCTGAGAGAGTCAACTCTGATTCTCGATTAATTGGGAAATTGGCTCTGATCTAATGTTCTGTCTAATCCCTATCCTTCAGCTAATGAAATCAATATTCCCGAGCTGAACACTAGTTGGAAGAAATACTGAGAAAAGCAATGGAAAGAAGTGCCTGTCCAAGTTACAGGGCATCCTGACACATTATGCCTTCAGGGTCACTGTATCAAAATCCTGGAACGCCCTCTCTAAAAGCACTGTGAGTGTACCTACACCACAAGGACTGCCACAGTTCAAGGCAGCAGCTCACCCAGTATATCTCTCACTCTGCCATTACCATTACGCCAAGTGACCAACTTTGGTTAAACAAGGAATGTAGGAAAAAATGCCTCAAGCAACACTCAGCATATGTTACAATGAGAGGCCAGTCTGGTTAAGTTACAGTGTCACAGGAATTCTAAATGGTGGCAGCAGCATTGTGCAATAGACAGAATACAATGTGAATGCTCCAGTCCTACTCCATCCAGCTATGAATCCTGGTGGACAATTAAACAACTACCAAGAGGAGGAGGCTCTGTAAACATGTGACCAATTCAAATGAATAGGCAGCAGCTAATAATGACAACTTTACAGGACTGAAATGGCTCTTGTGGTGCACTGATAGTATCCCCACCTCTGAACCAGGAAGTCTGAGTTCAAGTTCCACTCCTTCCAGAGATGTATAACATCATCTCGGAATCAAGTTGATTAGAAAATATCTAAAAGTTGTGGAGTAACATGCAGGTAATTGCATGATGAACCTTACTACAGTAAATCCTTTGTATCCGTGAGCTCACAACTTGTGAATTTTCCAAAAATTAGCAACAAAATTCAACATATGTGAGCAAACTCGCGTATCCGTGATTTTTAACAGGCTCTGCACTTGCAGATTTCAGCATTCGCGGAGGTTCACAGTAATGGAACCCTCGGGCATACAGAGGAAGACTGTACTGTCTTTCATTTCTCTTATTCAAGTTAACAGGTTAAATGTAGAACTACAGATTCTAAGTTGGGAAAGGTTTACAGTTGGTAACTTTTAAGTGTTAAGTTTTATTTGTGGTTGATTTAGTTAGCATCCAAGGCAACTCAATCTGGTAGAATCTCTATCATTTACCGTGTACGAAGTTGGGGCAGTTCTCCTGCCCTGGACAGCCATAAGTACAGGAAGTTGTATCAGTTGGAGGAACTGGCCTCTGGCTTTCAGAGCTCAAGCAGCAGCTGAAGTCACTGTGTGCATCTGGCAGAGCTCCATAAATAGCACAATTCAGGAGGTGATTATCCTATAGCTTAACAGCGTGTAGTAGAGAGGACATGGGTAACCATCAGATGGTCAGGGAGAACCAAGCAAGTAAAAGCAGCCTCAATTTCTGGCTGGAAATCAGTTGTGAATAAGGAGGAGGGTGAAGGTTCTCCTGGGGAGTGCAGATGAAGGGAAGGCAATGGCTCAGCTGTGTGGGGTGGGAAGGAATTGTGATATGAATTAACTAACTAGGAGGGCAGCCAAGTATTTCTCCAACTGCAAAGCGTTTTGAGGCAGAGGGAAAAGTGAACTGCCAAAGCTTATGTACCAATGACATTGGTAGAAAGAAGGATGATGTTTTACAGGTTGATTTCAGGAAAAAGGACCTCAAATGTCGTAATCTCCCAAACTACAACAGGCCCACAAATGAGGTTACTGCAGTTGAATGTGCAGCAGGAATGACAGTAGAGAATGGTGGGCTTCAGATACCTAGAGCGCTGAGACCAAGTTTGGGGAGAGTGCATCTGTCCATCAGATGGGTTACTCCTCAGTGTGACCAGTACCAGTGCCCTGACAGAACTGCTCGTGCTGACTTTTTTTTTTGACTTGGAATCATAGAATTCCTACAGTGCGGAAGCAGGCCATTCAGCCCACTGAGTTCACAATGACCCTCCGAGGAATATCCTACTATAGGCTCCACGCCTCTACCTATCCCTGTAACCCTGCATTTCCCGTGGTTAACCCACCTC